GTCCTGGAGCTGGGGCTGCGGTTACCATGGCAACGCTTGAGCGAGCCCAGCCCCTTCCTCTGGCCGCACAGAATCCTGCTCAGGACCTCGCGCGGGGGACCGGAATGTGGACACCAGCGTTCCTTTTCATCCTCCTCGCTGAATAACCTGTGTGGAGGAACATGCTGCCTCCCAAAGCAGCAAGGCCTGCAAAAATCAATGAGCTGTTCCTGCATAGTACTGTGTAAAGCAGAGTTTTCCAAAGGAGCTGTACAAACATGAATAATTAAGCCCAATGCGGGTGTGCAAGTCTGAAATCCCAGCACCCAGGGAAGATGAGGCGGGAGGATAGAAAGTTTGAGTACTGCCTGGGCAATTTACCAAGACCTTGTTTCAAAATAAAGGCTGGCTTGGTGACTCATGTTTATAATCCCAGCATTCTGCGAGACTGAGGCAGGAGGATCACAAGCTGAAGCCCAGCCTGGGCAATTTACTGACTAGTGAAACCCTCAAAATTAAAAATTTAAAAAGAGCATTGCTATTACTCAATATAAAGGCCCTATGTTCATCCCCAGGATTGCTAAATAAATAAGTAAAAATTAGAAATAAAAAGGGCTGGGGATATAGCTCAGTAGTAAAGCTCCCCGGAGTTAGCCCCAGTACTGAAAAACAACACATGAACAGAAAAACCCAGAATAACCAAGATAACATAAGGAAAGTTGGCCGGGCGTGGTGGCGCACACGTGTAATCCCAGCACTCAGGAGCTGAGGAGGATCACTGAGTTCGAGACCAGCCTGGGCTACATAGTGAGTTCTAGAGGTCAGTCTCAACTGTCTCATGCGCGCGCACATACACACACACACACACACACACACACACACACACACACACACAAAATGGGCTTTAAGGATACTTAGTGAGTTTGGAGGAAGACTTCCCACGTTATAATCAAGTATCAACCTCATAAAGTTTGCCCTAAGCAACAAAAGTTATAAAATCATGGGTTTGCTGGGAAAGCTTTATGTTTTTATACCAATGGAGATAAATATGTGACGGTTAACAACTTTGCTGCTCCGCCATTAAAACCATCCCAGGCCCCAGGGGTAGTCACGCTACCCAAGGGAGCTCCCAGTGCTGCCTGGGGAGGCAGGATTGTCACTGGGCTGCGGCTGTGGAGGTCCCTAGGGTGAAATAAAGAACCTGACCCATCCTTTTGTAGAATAAGTTTGCAGGCTCACTGACTCCCATCATGGAAAAAGAATTTAAAAAAATAATTTTCAGGACACATCCATAAGAGATTCAAGAAGAATTTATTAGGGAGAGATTTAGGGCACACTCAGGAATGAAGTATGGATGCTCAGAGAAATGAGACACAGTATTTCCTAAACCCAGGAACATTCATGCTTCTCTTGAGGGTTGGAAACCCTGGGAGAAGGTGGCCACCCCCAGGAGGGTGCTAGGCCATTCTACAGGTGTGGGCCCAGTTTTGTGTTGTGTTGTTTTGTTTTAAATTTAAACCTTTGGATGCTCTCAACCTGCTCCTTTATCTTAGGGTCTTTACTTCCACGAGCCAAGGGATGGCCTGCCAGTCTTCCCCAGGGAATCTGGGTGTGGTGGGTCTGGTAGGGAAGGAGCCTCCAAGGTTGTGCTGATATGGATTGCCTTAGGTAACTTCAGCTGAGGCCCAAACCTCGAAATTTTAAAAGTACAAATTTTTAGTTAGGCCTAGAGGCACACATCTGTAATCCCAGCCCTCCAGAGCTGAGGCAGGAGGATTGCCACAAGTTCAAGGCCAGCCTCAACTACATAGTGAGACCCCTTGGGTTATTTAAATAACCAAAAAAAAAAAAAAGTACAGTCTGTAGTTATGGTTTCCTGTCTCCTTTCTACCTACCTTTTATTTGTTCTATCATCTTCAGGATGAGGCCGCTGTTTATCTGTGTCCCAAGCAGGACATGTGCTAGGTGTATTGGTAGACTGAGCCCCAGACCCACCAAATATCTGACCATAACCTTCCTTACTAGCAAGACTTTTGTGGCTCCGTATTCTTTTCTGGATAACAACGCAAAGGCAGATGCCTTCATGTGACCTGTAAGGCCCTTTGGGATCAACCTACTTGGCCTCATCAGCCTGGGGAATACAGTGAGTGAGAAGGTAACAGAAAACATGAAGGACTTCTGTGTGTGTGTGTGTGTGTGTGTGTGTGTGTGTGTGTGTGTGTGTGTTTTCTTTATGTTTTGAGACAGGGTCTCAGTATGTGATAGTTCAGACTGATCTTGAACTCACTGTGTAGCCCAGGCTACATGTTGCCTAGAATTTGTGGCAGTCCTTCTAAGCCTCCCCAAGTGCTGGAATTATAGACGTGTGCCACTATGTCCAGCCTTTGATTTTCTTCTGGAAGATAGTTTTAAATTTATTTCCCTGTCACCTACCCCATCACACATGATCCTCATCTCCCCCAAAATTCCTAAATAATTTTGGTGAGCCAGGGGTGGTGGCACACACCTGTAACCTTGCAATCAAGAGGCTGAGGGAGGAGGATCACTGTGAGTTCAAGGCCAGCCTGGGCTACATAGTGAGTTCAAAGCCAGCCTGAAATACATAGTGAGACCCTGTCTCAAAAAAAACTTTTTTTGGTTAATTTGATATTTGTTATTTACATTATTATATGGGAGCTATGGAATTTCTTTCCCGTACAACTTTATTTTCCCTGGAGTTTCTAATTGTCCTGTTTTGTCACTTGCTCAGTGTTTACATATTCTACACTCTACCTAATTCTAAAACTCTTCTCAAGATGTTGAGGCAAATCAGGTGTTTTGATTGGTGCCTCCAGAAGCAGAGATGTTCATTAAGAATCAATGCCTGTGAAAGAACATGGGCAGAAGCAGGACTGGGCACAAGTCACACTGCAGTGCCGGCCTGGTGAAGCCCACACACCCCCTGCCCACGGGTCCCAAGCCAAGCTGCAATAGCAGGGCCTCTCCCCCTCTTTCTTCTGTGTCCCCGTGGACTGCCCCGCAGACAGATGTGATCTTGGACAAGGCGGCTCTTGGCATCTGAGGCCAACCGGAAGGAGCTGACAGCTGGGGGTGTCTGCTGTCCATACTCCCTCCAGCTGGGCCACCAGCCCTTCCTTGAAAGAGAGTCTGGAAGGCATCTCCATGACTACCTCAGCTCAGCTTCTACTCCTTTGGCCTGGAAGATACTTCCTGGAGTTGTCAGTTCTGCAGTCTGGAGAGCCTGCCCTTTATATCCAGTGAACGGCATTATTCTGGGCAAGGAAAGGTCCAGATTTTGTAGGGTCTAAAACTTATATAACCTGTGGGACTTTTTTTTTTAAGTTCAAAATATGAGTACGAATTTATTTTGTTATAATTAAAAGATGTCTTATTGGTGCATACTTTCTTATTGCAGTACATAATGATTACATTCAAAGTGCAGTTTGTTTAGTTTTTTGTTTTGTGGGGTTTTGTTTTGTTTTAGAGACAAGTTCTTGCTGTGTATTTCAGGCTGGCCTTACACTTATTTTGCAGCCCAGGTGGCCTCAGACTCCTGCCTCAGCTTCCCCGAGTACTGGGATTACAGCTATGTGCCACCACGCCTGGTTCAAACCGTAAAACTGTAATGTGTTTAGATTGATAAGGCGATAGGGGGCTGCAGATGTAGCTCAGCGGTAGAGCTCACGCAGAGCATGTGTGAGGCCCTGGGTTCAATCACTAGCAGCCCAAAACAGTAATAAAGCTGAAATCACTGGAGCTTCAGAAGTCTTGGAAACCAGGATGCCTTCGGAAATCTCTTTGGGCAACCTTAACAGAAATCACCCTGAATGCACCGTAGTTTGTCTGCCTCCAGCTCCTGAACTCTCAGCTGGCACAGTGCAGCACCTGAGGCTGAGGTCCTTCAAGCATCCACTCTGCCTCTGGTGCTGGGACCTGCTTTGCTCACTGTATATCCCAGCACTCTGGAGGCTGAAGCAGGAAGATTGCTGTGAGTTCGAGACCAGCCTGGGCTACATAGTGAGTTCCATGTCAGTCTCAACTACATAGTGAGACTGTCTCAAAAACCAAACCAAACAAAAAAAAGTTTCACTGGGAGAACTGGGCTCTCACTTGTTGTCCCAGCTAATGAGGAGGCTGAGACAGGAGGATGGCAAGTTTGTAAGACACTGATCACCAAAATAAAATTAAAATGGGTGGGGATGTGCTTGACTAGCATGTGTGAGGTCCTAGGTTCAGTCCCCATTAAAGAGGAGGAAATTAACTCTCTGAAGATGTTAGCAGTAGGTCCTTCCTCTTGGTCAGGTTGGGTTTGCTCTGATAAAGATTTTTCTGATCTACCTAGGGAGCAAAACCATGACTGCCAACTTTCTGAGAGCCAAGCTGGGCAGCAGGGCCAGGGGGTGTCCCAGCACCCACACTGTAAATTCATGGCGTCACCTGATGGGAGCACACCCCAGGCCTGAGCTCTGCCTGTCTGCCTTCCCGGAGATCCTGTTTCTTCCTCTCCAGAGAATAAAACTCCAGTCTCTTGCTGGATCCAGGAAGTAGCCCAGGGACCTGACAGTCTTGATCCTTAAAGAGCTTTCAGCCCATCCCTTTATTCGATGTCTTTGTGCCCCATTCAAGGAGGCACTGAGCCTTTGGGGAGCTGGTTCCCTTCTTCCCAGGTTAGGGCCGTTTTCTTGGGTTGCTGTGTGGTTTCCACCCAGCCATCTGTTTTCCAGCTTCCAGGCACTGTGCTGTTGTCTCCTCACTCAGTTGCATTCTCTTAGTGTTATGCCGCTAATAAAATCACTTTACTGGAAAATAAGAACCAAGATCTGTCATGTAAAGATAGAAGATTCCAATGATGAATGTAACTATTATATATCTAAAATGTCTCAATAAAAATATTTTTAAAATGTCTTTACTGAAATTTTAGTAAAGTTTTGGGAGAGAGTAAAATCAAATGCTCAGTCAGTCATAATTTTAGATTCTTACCTATACTGGTCACGATTACAGACCGTGAGAGCCACAGGGAACAAGCATGGGGCCAAGTTGAGAAGGGGCAGCAGGCCTGGGACCCGACAAAGGCCTGTCACTGCTACGTAGAGAAGAGATTATCCAGGCACAGTCAAGAGGTCAGGTGAGTGACCGGGTAGATGGGAAGTGGTGGCCACAGCGGTGGAAGGAGAGACCGGTAACCTGCACAAAGGCAGGCACCATGCCCACTTTGCTCCCTGTGTGTGGATGCAGGGCACCATAGACACTGCACAAAAAATTTGTCAAATGTGTTTCAAAAAAATAAAGGGGTGGAGATACGTCAATGCAAAGGCCCTGTGTTCAATCCCCAGAGTACCAAAAAAAAAGTTTGTTGAATGGACATGGGCACTGAGGAGTCAAGGACACTCATCTAGATGTCTCCTCCTAGTGCCATCCTCGAATGCCAACTAAAAGGGCTATGGAGGGAGCCACAGAGGGCCTGGGGCAAGGGCTGGCCAAGGAGAGCGGGTGACCTTGCATTGTCACAGTCCCCACTCTCTGGCCTGGCTTACCACACTGTCCACTCTGGCGCCTTCAGCCTCCTGTGCCCTGGCAGCTGCCTGTTCCCCCAACTCTCTTCATCCCCTCTGACCCACTTCATCCAGCTCCAAGAGGTCAGGACCCGACAAAGCACTCCTTTTGCGCAGAACTCTCATGGCCAGCAGGGGGCACAGGGTTCACGTCAGCTCCAGCCCAGGATCAGCTTCCTGCCCTTGAGTCCCTAGCACCCAGGACTGGGCCTGGCACAAAGAAAGGGGCTTAATTTTATCTTTCTTTCTTTTTTTTTTTTTTTTTTTTTTTTTTTTTTTTTTTTT